TATATATATATATATATATATATATATAAACTTTTAATTTCCCGCAGATTGTTGAAATTAAACCGAAGAACAGTTGCGACATTCTTTAAATCAATCATATTTTAAGATGATAAATGTCAGCCTCAACAACATGCAAACTTTTGATATCAAACACAACCATTACGCACCAACGGTAGAGCCAGGACTTTGTTTCATTAATTAAAATGCCTTTTTCAGTGTCTGTGGAGCGATTATTGCGTGCGGCTGTAATCGGAGAGCACACTATCATACAGCCGTGAAGCGCGGCTGTGATCGGAGAGCGCACGCAGCTCCGCACGCAATAATTAGATGTATCTGTGTCGATGTTTGGAGGAGGGCGATGCTCGTGACATATACCGAATTACAGGGAAGACCAGCGGATGTACGAAAAAAAATGAAATCTATGCTGCCATCATGATACGTGTCGGCCTGTTTTTAAGTCCTCTGTTTAAGAGTACAAGCTCATATTTATTTAGCTAAAAATTTATCAAAAAAAATATATCAGCATGTTTTAGTATTAATTAAGATAAGCTTCAAAACTATTAAAATACTTTAAAATTAATTTTCAGAACATATATGATTACATTATCCTAACCTCAATAACTCAAAAAATTCTAAAACCCATCTAGATACAACTTAAATTAAAATTTTCTAAAATAATTTTCGTCCCATTCTATTATTATTTAGAATACTTGTTGAGACAACAAAAATTTTAAAACTTGATCTACTTAAAAAAAAAAAAAAAAAAAAAGAAAACAAAGGAAGTCATTCCCGATGATGCGTCGAAAAATTCGAGTGCCACACCCTCCATCGTGGGGAATTAAACCCCAGGTCAGAGTGTACTTACAATTGACAAACAGATGCCCGACGAACCGATCTGAATACGCGGCGCTAAAAATTGATCTACTTATTGAAAGTAAATTCTAAAAAAGCAATGTCTAATGTTATAAAAAGAAAAAAAATTTTGAGTGACGGTACAATATAAATCCTTAAATTTACATTAAAGGATTAGCATAGTAGATAAATAATGATCATTAAACTAAAAAAGTTCTAACAACTTTGAGACCTCATCGGTCTTTGATAAAATTCTTCAAATAATGTATACCTATGTCCACAAATAATCTGACCATAGACCAAATCAAATGATAGAACTAAGAGAGAGAGAGAGAAAGAGAGTGGGAGAGAGAGAGAGAGAGAGAGAGAGAGAGTTAACAATAAATATCAGTAAATTCGTCTATGCAGCCCAAACTGCCAACCTCATGAATTACTTAATTTTAGATGAAAAAGAGTATAGTAAGTATTAACAAAAACAAAAAATGTCATCTTCAACCACCAGAATTATATAATGCATCCACAATCTCACAAAGATTCATTTTCACAATGCAAAATTTTCAAAATGAAAATTACTTATCTTTATCTACAACAACAACTGAAAGAGGATATGTAGCCCAATTTGTTCTGGACTTGAGAAAAGCTTAGAGATGATAATCAATCAGGTCACCTCTTTCC